ACACACACACACACACACACACACACACACACACACACACACACACAATTTCCACCTTATATAATCAGCATCAGGCTTTGTAGCACCTCATGAGTCACTCTGATCCGACAGAAACACAAAACCCAGAACACAAACTAAAAATAAAAACAGAGTTCCAGCACATCACTCTCACTCTCACTCACTCACACACACACACACACACACACACTCATCTGAGCGTGCAGAGAGCCAGAGGAACCTCCTAAACTTCATATCTGCTGAGTAAAGATAGGTTTTCGGGGGGTGTTTTCCTCGGACAGCAGTGAAACTCAAACCTGCCATTTCTCGGAGCAAACTGGATATTCTGAAAACAGGAAACACTGCTTAACAATCAACAGTTGAATACAACAGTGCCGTCGACATCCGAGCTGCAGCGATTAGGATCGACAGGAAATCAACCGCCGTCTATTTTGATAATCGATTCATCGTTTGGATCGTTTCTCGTGCAAAAATGACAGAAAATGCTGTTTTTCATGCAGAATTCCTGCTTTTCTGTGTTTTATTTGACATTAAACTGAACACTTCTGACAACACAAGACATTTAAAGACATAACCCTGCACTTCGACATTTTTCACTATTTTCTGACGTTTTATAGACACGTAGACAAAACTGTCTACAGTCTGAATTATATCCGCTTACACACAAACACACATCCCCACACACACACACACACACACATCCCCACACACACATATCTACACACACACACTAACTTACCGCGGGTCTGTTGCGTCAGCTAAAACGAGAGCGAGGAAAGGCTTACTTGACTGCAGAGGGTTTTTATAATCTACGGCAACAGTCGTGGGGGCGTCGCCCAACATGACTCCTCCCCCGACATAGAGAGGCTCAAACTCCACGATTATTCATCACTCAGAATAATAAAGACAGAAGGTTGAACAATGACACATTGTTTATTGATAGCGGGGTTTTAAAAAGACACAATGTTGGTGACGCGGTCACTAAATGATACACTTGGTTTACCCCGTGAACCAGGTGCTTTCAGGGACCATCCTGATGAGTCGCTTATGCATTTCATGTCGAAAGTTATTTTGGTTAGATTTAGAATATTTTTTCCTGAAGCTTTGTTTTGCTGATGGCGCTTTAGTCACGCAGGTTCGTACCCTCGATGGTTTTCGTGTTAACGCCTCGGAGCGATCACCCGCTCGTTGTTTCTGTTTTTATAAACTCCAGGTGTTTGGATGTACTGGTACATGTTCAAATGTAAAAATGCAAAGAGAAGCGAGAAATGGTTGCACAGGGTTGGAGTCTCTCTGAGCCCAGTGTTATTTTGGTGAAGTGTAATCGGAGAGCGGCGACCTAGTTGTTTGGGAGTCGTGGTACGCGAGGCAGTCGAGGCCGGCGGAGGACGAGGTCGTCTCGTGTTCTCGTCTCCGGAGGACAGCAGCTCCTCTGAGTCACCGATTGGTGGAACACAGCAACGCGTCAGCGTGCATCCAGTTTATGACAACATAAACTACATAAGCTTTTACATAAAAATCGTGTAGCCCAAGTACTTATTTTGCCCAATACTCATTTTCACTGAACAGAGCCTGAACGCATCATTGTGTAGTGGACCCTTTCGTTAGCGGTGCTGCTAACGTTACTAGCCACAGTACTTCTTCTTCTCACTACTACTTACAGTGCTGATCTTACTGCGACCACTACTAGTCCTACTTCTACTAGTACAATTACTACGACTGATGGTACTACAGCTGGTCCATGAGACAGGACGCAGGTCATGTTTATAATATCAGCCACATACAGATATATGAGAGTTCAACTTCTCATTGGGACACGTTTAAGTACATGAATGCCTCCGAGCTGCCTGTGGCCCCCACCCCGACTGGGAACTGCTGTAGGTCATCGTGGTGACAGACATCTGTTGCTGCTGATAAAGCAGCACGGCCAGTAAAAATAAAAGCACTGGTCAGACTCATTACCACCGCCAAGGGGGAGATGTTTTCAGTTTGTTTGTCAGCAGGATTACAGAAACAACTACCGGCCCAGTTCTCATGAAGCTTGGTGGGAGGGTGTAGTGCGGACCAAGGAAGAACTTCAGGACATTTTAGGAGCGGATCCAAATCACGAGGTGGACACACGCGTTCTTTTTCATACGTGGAAACAGCCGAGGTGGCGGTCCTTCTAGTTTCCATTGCTATTCCTATCACCGTCTACGACTGACAAAAGAAATGTCCGCACTACTGACAGAAAACTAAATCCTATAATAAAAAACATCATATCACGCGTGTTCTCATGCAGGATAATGTGCTGTGAGAAATGTGGGTAAAATTGGACTAAACATGAGATTTTTGTCAATATATAAGGACAACAATATTGAATAATTGCCAAACCTTAATCAACTTAATAAAATGGAGAAAAATGTAATAAATTCCTTCGACTGAAACAAAGTCGACATCGACCAAATAAATGTCTTTGTCCTTCTGCGTGTTAAACTGTAATACCACTGTTATTGACACTTTGTGTGAAAGCAGTAGAACCGGTCTCATGTGTAAAGGCAACATCTGTAAATTGACTACTGTATACTGTATTGTATGTAGCAAACCCTAAATATTCACACGTTCTTTTGGTCGTATTGTCTCTGCTTCTTTTCCACAAATAAAACATCGGGGAGATCTATTTTTTCCAAAAGAAAACACAGACTTTGCAGATGAACTGTAGCTCTGTTCTGCCCTCCAGAGGTGAACACGGTGAGACACACTCAGGCAGGTTTCTTCCTCACCTAACGCAGCAAGAACTCTTCTTTTTAAGGGCAGGCATTTTGCCAGGACGGTAAGATTGACAACTTTACTACCAGCTGGACTCCATCTAGGAGGGGCTGGTTCCAGGGTCCTGCTTTTGTGCATGCTGGTCTCACCGTCATGGCTTTCTGAGACACTTGAAGGAGCTGAGTCATCCATAATGAGTCATAGCATAGGTGGTAATAAAAGGTTTGAACTTCACCCCAGTTACTGTAATGTAAAGGACATACGCACACCGCCACTAGGAGTCAGAACGGAGTCTGTCAAGCAAAAGATGATTTCACAAAAGCGACAGCTTTTCTACTCGTTCTACTCTTTGTGTAAAGAAATACCAGCAGACGTTACCAAGCTCGCTACATCAATCTGGACTTTACTGTCACAGGGCAGTACTGCAAACAAACAGACTTGTGTGTTTTAACTTCTCTGGTAGCACGAAGAGTGTCTCCTTTAAGCCGTTTCATTGTCAGGACACATCCTGCAGTTTAAAGAAATATAACCATAGTTTAGTGATTTCTTTCAGACCTCCAGAACTGGATATCTTTAGTGTTTCATTTCAACGTCTCTGCAGAGGAATAAAGATTCGAGGAATGAAGAAAAGCTTGTGCTTTGTTTTTCTGAAGTGACACAGCTGGGTTTTTAGAAGTCGCTCCGTAGAGGAATGTCCCTGTAAAAAGCCTGGCTGAGTTTGCCGTCGTGTGGTTTTTAGACTCAGAGCGGATGTTTGTGCTCCTGTAGAATCAGGCATCATCAAAAGCAGATGGTCACAAGTTTCCACGCTGAAGGTCGGGACGGGAAACAAGCTAACGGTCTCTGTCCAGCAGCCGGGGTGAATACTGCTACTTTACAAAAGAACAGAGCAAACAAAGGGCGGAGGGCCGCCTCTGCTGCTGCTGTGTGAGACTTTGACTCAAATAATGCTCTTTTTCATGCACTGGTTTGGTTTCTCACAACGCAAGAGAATAAAATAAATCAGCCATATTTTGATTTGGCCTCTCGGGAAATTACAAGCAACAAAACGACGAATGTCAGTCTGTCCTTTTTGAAATCCTATCAACTGTTTCTACTGCAGACGATGAACTGTGAAAAGTGGCAGCTGAATTTGGGCGAAGTCCTCTCAGGTGAACGAGCTTGTGTGTGTCTGTGTGGGTAAACAGAGCATTCAAGTGTGCACCTGTAAAGGTGTGGTCAAATAACTCGGAGACATGATGAATCATAGATTATAGTAGAGGTACAGCATGTAGAAACGCCTGCAAAGTACAAACTCTAAATATCTTCTACAAGCTTCCCCTGCTTTATGGTCTGTTTGCCTCTAAATGGACCATAATGTACTAAATGAACATCATGCTGTATTGAAGAAGACTTGAAACTAGAGATTGAGACCATAAACTCATGTTTACAATGTTTACTGAGGTAATAAATCAAGAGAGAAGTAGAGTCATTTTCTCATAGACTTCTATACAACCAGAGGAGTCGCCCCCTGGTGGTCACTAGAGAGAATGCAGCTTTAAGACATGAAGCACTGGCTCCATATAACAGATATTAGAAACTACTTTGTGAGAAAATAAATATATGTACTTTGTTGAACTACATAAATCCCTCACGTGGGCATTCTAGGGATGGTGTTTACGTTAAATAGAAATTAAATAAATGCCTTTATAAAAGACTTGTAAACTGTAAATGATAATCAAAATTCTTGAGAAAAATGCAAAAGGTTATCCGTTGAAAGAGTTTATAAACTTGTACACATTCTGAAAAGCAGTGTTCTGTAAACATGAGATGTACAGGTTAGATACGATAATAATTCATATGTTACTATCTGTACGGGCAAATTAAAATAAATAAGATATAATTCTGAATGTGTATAGAAATGTTTCAAAGTCTGTCTACTTGAGTCAAATACATCTCGACATATGACCCTTGGCCCCCTGATTGTCTGCAGTTACTTTGCCATGTTTGGATGATTCCCGTCGGACAGGTTAGGAAGCTGCAAGGAGGTGCTGCTGCAGCTTGCATAACCTCCACGCTGACCGAAACGGCAGCAAACTCATCCCAGGACCTTGCAAAGAGCCGCAGCGAGCGGATGCGCAGCTGCTGTCAGAGCGGTCAGGTGTCTGAACAAGAAGAAGAAAAAATAATCTGTGGTGACCTCTGGAAAAACCCCCACAGCTGCTGTTTTAGGGGGACATTCGCGCCTGCGCAGAGCATGACAAGCAATTTCCGGACGTGGTTTTTCAGAATAGAAGCGAACAGGTCATGTAGGTGTCCCATAGATTAAAATACTTTAGTGATGCCAATGTATTTAATGCCTGATTTACTACTAATTTTTATTTAAATCCTGGTGATTCCTGAATATCTAATAATATTGTATAATAATATTGTTTAAATATAAAGTGCAGGTTTTCACATACTTCATAACACAATAACGTTAGATTGATGTGTAAATTATCACGCCTGCAATGAAAATTATAAAGAAATCATAATTGTTATAATCTGCTCTCAACTAACAGCCTCTTCGAGACGACTTGTTCTCAACCACCGACGGATTGCGCACATTTTATTTTGAAGGTACAACTCCACCCACTTCCTGTTATCGTATCCGCCGTCGTACTTGACGTAGCGCGAGCGTCTTGGGTTATTTTTTTTAACTCACCATCTCTATGATCCTAGTTTTCTTCCCCGCTCGCTTCTTCTTGGCGACGATGTACTGAGCCAGAACCACGCCGCCGAACAGGGCACAGACGCTGGCGCTGGCCGCGGCTCCGACCTTTACCACGGCCGTCCTGTCCATGATGGGGTCCGCTGTTAAAAAACTCTCCAACGAACCAGCAGCCTTCACGCACCGTCCTACTGGTGCAAAAAAACGTGGCCAAAGATCTTCTATACACGAACCGGAAACAGCTCACTCTGTTTGATATTTCCAACCAACGTTTTTAGCAGGATGGAAAAAAAATTGTATGACATAACAAGGCACCTGTGGAAGCCCATTTCCGCGAGCAAAAAAAAGATAACAAAATCACTACAAATAATAAATAAATAAAGTTATTATTATTATTTTTTTAATTTACAAAAACAATTCAAGAAAAAAAGGCGGAGATGGGGTTTCATAGCTAACACATTGTATTTATACTTGTATTTCTGTAAAATTAACAACAATAAAAATAATTTCAGATGTTAAGCTATTGTTATTGCTAACCTTAATTTGCATGTTATTTATGAACATATAAGCTATCATACCTTTCGGGTAAGCTAGCAAACTTGTCAAGTAAGCTAACATAATAGTCTGAATCTTTCTGAACTTATGTTAAAATTAAAATCACATTGTTATCTCTGATCCAGGAGGTAATTTTGTGTATTCAAAGTCTTTTAAATCTCTGCTTCAGATGTCTTCTCTAACGCCGTATTATTCCCCCTTTTACTCTGTAAAATTCAATATAAAGTACTTCCGTTTGTACAGGAAATACCTAAATAAAAGTCAATAATATAAGTAAAATAAATAAATAAATAAATTCAAAATACACAAGTTCATTGTAGTATTGAGGGTCATCTACAGAAAACATCAACACATTAGATGAATAACACAGACTCATCTCTTATGTAGCTATTTAAATCGTCTGCAAAAAATATATACTTTTGTACTTTTATTTGGTTGGTTTTCAACACATGAAATCAATAATGCAGTCAAGTAACAGCACTTTCTCTGGATACTTCTGAATGATCCTTCCTTGCTTACTTAATTATTTAAGTGGTTATAAAGCCTGTATTGTGCTTGCAGTTTACTTGTACATACAGTAACAAAATAAATAAAAAGTTTTCTAATTAATTACAACTTGATTGCAACGCTGTTAAGCAGCCAACATCATCTGAATATTAAAACGACCCACTGACGTCATGCTTTCAAGAAGAGGCAACTGTCGAAATAAAACAACCTGATGATAATGTTGTATATTTTGTATATTTACCAGTCGGGTACTTAACTACCCACTCTTTTTTTGCCGTCTCCATCACATCGAGAGGGATTTAACAGCAGGTGCAAATGTTTCCACAGAAACTGCAATGTGTGTGATTGCAGCAAACTAAAATATCAGCAGTAAACATCAGGGTTTGGTGTCAGTGCCTGGGGCCTGACATTCAACAAATGATTTATTTATTTAATGGATTTTCAGTAGCATGAACCAAACCCACATCACAGCCTCAGATAGATTGCTTTGCCCATCCTCTAGTCTAAAGTAATAAAAACAGCACAACACACACACATGGATTCAGTAAAATTACAACAAAACTCAATGACAAGCAGCAGAACACTCTTTTAAAGCAGTGATTTTAATGATCTGTGTTCTGTGGGTAACAAAACAGAAAAAAATAATTGGTCAAAATGATGATTTATGAGGTTATTGAGCCATGAAAGGTGCCAGGGATACATTGTCTCATTGCTTGTCCATCAAAACTCTTTGGACATTCATTCAGTGATTGTCTGTTGGGCTCTGAGAGCTACCAGGTGACCTACACTCAATACTGTGCCTGAATGCATCCTGTGTATATGCAGACGGAGGACTATAGCTGCTGCTCACGTTACACCACCTGTACAGATGGTGCAACCTGCAGCTACATGAAGAGTTTCTAAAGTATTAAACAGCAAAGGAAACTACAAATGAATCAATAAACATCCCTCATTCTCTCTCCTTATTGCTGCACTTCTATGCTTTCCAAAATAGCTTTTAGTGAACCTTGTTGGAAACCAGTTGTTCACCCGCATTAATGCACAGAGACCCTTAAATGTGTGTGCAGCTTTGAACAGACATCACACACAAACACACACACACACACACCGGAGAAGTCAAAGAAAAACAGTAGTGATATTTATTGTAATAACCGCAGTCATGTTTGACATATAGAACATTTTAAAACCAGAACAATGGAAAGAATAATGAGCTAATTTAAGTCATTACAACGTCAGGAGGCGTCCAGAGAAGAAAGCCTTGAAGTAGATGTGTGTGTGTGTGTGTGTGTGTGTGTGTGTGTGTGTGTGTGTGACGGCTAGTCTTGTGACTGGCTTGCAGCAGGGAGGCAGCGTTGGAATGTGTTGTAAGCTGAGTCACTACACACGCACAAAAAGCTCCATTGTCTGAAAATGAATAGCAGCAGCGTGAGTTGATGTGATGGGAGCGACTTCCTCCGGTCCTGATCAGGTTTTTCATTTGTTTCTAAGTGAGATGATTAGTCTGAGAATTCTAAAACCAACAACATCCTGATTCATTTAAATTCTGGTAACAAATTGATAATTATCAAATAAGTGAAATGTGATCCTTTTTCCCTCACTTTCGTTCTGACTTATAAGGAAAAACCAAGCTGCTCCGACCACAGTGCAGTCCTCTTCATCATCACCATCCTCGTGAGAAATGTGTGTGTGTGTGTGTGTATATGTGTGTGGACGGTAGCTACTCCACAGGCCGGATGCCCTTGGTCTCCTCCAGCTTCCTCAGGGTCTCGTCCCACTGGGTGAACTGCTTAGACAGCAGGAACATCTGCCAATCACAGGTCAGGGGTCAGTTCATGTTCACACGAGGACAAAAACATGAGCGGAAATCCGAAAACTTCAGCATTTATACGTTTACCAGACAGATTAGTTGAAGAACAGAAAGGCTAAAGTGATTATTTAAGTAGTATTATTGTGTCTCTTGTACCTCCCAAGAAGAAGCTTTTAATTACATAACATTTAGACGTTTTTTTTGTGGAAACTATGTTTTCTTGCAGTCGTTTTTATTTCACTGGAATTAAAAAAAGAAATGATCAATAAATGCGTACCATTTTGTTGTATTCCTCAAAAAGCTTCTTCACCTCCAGGGACTGAGCTTCAGTTTGGTCCTGTAAAAGAGACAAACATTGGGTCAACAGATGAAACACAAAGAGGCAGAGGCAGAGACAGGGGGGGGGGGTTACCTGTTCTTTGATGTGGATCTGTGACAGGCGCTGGAGCTTGGTGGCGTGTTCTGGTACATCTGAAGGCAACAGAAACACAGAGCTAACTCAGGCCTGGTGGGATAAACACACTGTAAAAACACTACACCAATGAATAAACAGGCTGGGAGTTTAAATGTTTAATAAATAGTTACGTTGTTTTCTTTCTAAAGCATGACAGCATGTTCAAACAGGGAATGTAGCATGATGTCAGAGACACGTGTGGAACACAGGTACAGTACTTCAGCAGCAGACTTTAAATGTCTGGATCCCAGAGCGCCTTGCAGCAAATAAAACCACATTATTTGATAGATTTATCTTTAAAAATAAAAACAAGACAAACTTACCTCTGATGTAGTTGCTGTCCAGCAGCGGCTGCATGTTGCTGACCTGCTCCAGCAAAACAGCCTGGGAAAGCAGGAAGTCCTCCTCTGTGTGCAGACAAACACAAACAGCACCACAGTGAGTTCCTCTACAGTCTTCTTCTTTATGTGAAAACTTACATAATATACAATATAACATTGAACTGTACATGCATCGCATTAAACATAAAAATACGACTTCATGGAAGTTATTTCGATTGGATTCCTCCATCACAGGCTCCTCCTGGTTCTCACCAGCGAGAATGAACTCCAGCTTCATTGCATCTGGTACAGTGATGTGGTCGGTGAACTGGGGGTCCAGGTACTTCAGCAGGTCCTCAACTGCACCGCAACACCAATAAATATGATCAAAGACCCACCGAACACACACAAATCCCTTCAAGCACTGTTGTAGCATTTTGAATTTCTGCACTTAACATCACTTTTGGCATTTTATGTCAATATTTTATGTCAAACAGTCTTGCAGCTCCATGAAAAACAGTCCACAACAAGATACATAACTCTGTGAATGTCAAGTCGTGTATAAATGAATAGTTACAACAAGCGCTGTAATCCAGGCTGTTATGACGGATACAAGGCAGCGCGTGACTCACTCTTCTTGTGCAGGATCTTCACTCGTTCCCTCTTGTTGGCCGTATTAGTCAAACCAGCCTGGATCCTGGCCAGAGACTCAGCACACTGCGGGACAAAGGACACGGATTACATTCAAAGTCATTACAATATATTCAATCAATGTGTCCCAGCAGGTTTTGTGCAGTATGTGGTACTACACCTAATACAGTGCAAAAAACACTGAATCTCAGGTTCAAGAGTAGCATGGAGGTAGCTATATAGCATGTAGCAACACAGTGAAATAGTCCTTTAAATCTCCTCACTGTCTTCTCTGATGAGCTCCGTGTCACGCTGCTTAGAACTGGAGGTTTATTACATGTTTATAAAAATGAGCATTTACAGTGTGGAGGCCAAACACGGGAATTTGCTTCTGGATATTTAGAGCATAACATTGTTTTGGTTTCATTCAGAGTACATCTAGAACGAGCCTGTCTACTCATAAACAATACATTTAAACCTGTAATTCAAACTTCAGTCAACTATCGCAAACATACAAACACCAACAACTGTGACTTTCGCCACCTCCGCTAACAGGAAATAAATCCACTTCAATGCTCCTTTGTAAGTGAAGTCTTCATCAGATCATATGACGCTCTGAAGAGAGGCTCCACTGATAAAATATAGATAAAATATAACCAAGATTTTCAGATTAAAAAGTTGTGTTTTAAAAAATTCCTGGAAACTAGTGACTTCAATATAATTCAGTGCAGTTTCTAACTCAACCATGTTGATATATCACTCATATAATTCATCAATCAATAGGAGTAAATAGTGGAAAATGTCCATCAAGTTCCCAGAACCCAAAGTGGCTTCTTCAAATTACTTATTTTATTAAACCAAGAGTCCGAAACAAAACAACTCTTAATGTTAATCGTGCAAATATGAAACAGGTCTAAAACGTTTGCATGACCACAGAGGAGGTTAGCATGGTGGGATATGTAGACAGTTAATTGAGCAAAAATATATATTTAAAAAAAGGTAATCTGGAAAAGTAACTAAAATCTTTGAGACAAATATAGTGGAGTAGAAGCATACAATTACATAAAATGGAAGTAAAGTACCTCGAATTTATACTTCAAGTAAATGTAGATTTTTTGTGCTTTTAGTGTTGGCTTGTTTCAGCTAACGTGGCTAACCTAGCAGCTGTTTAGCTAAATACATAAATACACTACAACAGTGAACACCGGAGTCATAAATTGTGATAAAATCGTATTGTTGTGCAGCCAAAAGGCATCAAATAAAAACAGGGCGTTCACTTGGCCCCACTCACACATAGCTACCGTTAGCTCTGCTAGGCTAACAGCTGGCGAGCGTCTTCATTATTCATCGGAATAGAGATTATTCTTTGCGAACCTTAACGGGTTTCTTTCCACTTTTGTTTCGTCTCTCTCCGTATATTTGACTCTCCAGCGTCTGAAGACGCATTTCCAGGTTATCCGTGTCCGATGTTACGTCCATTCTTAAAGCTACTAGTTGACAAAATGCGACGTACTGTAAGAGAGACGTCGCATATTGATGACGCTTTCACAAATACGTTTAGTGTTTTTTTGTTACAGTGTGCAGGTTTAAAAAAAAACAAAAAACATGTAAGATATTTGGACCTTAAATAAAACTATTCTTTTAAATCTTATGGGTAGATAGTTTTTTAGAAACATTGCTAAATTTAAAAAAAATGATGTTTTTGTTGTTGTTGTTGCAGTACACGGAGTCGTCCGCTGTGCGTCGCTGTTTCGCGAGGAACGAGGTGCTTTTCAGCTGTTTTCCGGTGACAGCAGCGGAATGACAACATCGACACTCACACGGCCCTTCTTCCATTCAAGCCGACTTCAACTAAACACCGACCAGAAAGTAAGGCTTTTCCTCACATATCACCACCTCTTCCTCGCACGCAACACGTCTCTGTTTGTGGACAACAAAATAAACAACCCAAAAGCTACGTCAGCACATTTGTACACAATTCTCTGCTCTGTTTTCACGAGCTAAGCTAGCTTTCCTAGCACGAAGCTAACGTCAGTTTTCACATTACATCTGCGTAGTTTGACCGGTTTAGAGTTAGTTTGTGAAGTCTAGCCTTCTTCTCCTGCACTATAACTGAGTAATAACTCTCCTTACCAATTAATAAAGACATATTTAGTTATTTAAAGCTGAATTACTTTGACACAATGTGAAACTAGCTTGTGTTGCAACGCCTACTTCACTGTGGTTTTTGGGGGTTTGTGTTGGTAAAGGTTTCATGAATGCTCTCTCTCTGCTCTGCTGTGTGTTGTTGACAGCAGGAAGCTGTCTGCCGTCGGACTTTGGTGGTCTGTGTTTGAGGAATTTCTTCTATATGTGCCACTGGGAGCAGCAGCAGCAGCAGCAGCAGCAGCAGCATGGCAGATGACAAGGACGTGTTGAGAGACGTGTGGTTCGGCCGGATCCCCACCTGCTTCACTCTGAACCAGGACGAGGTGACCGAGAGAGAGGCCGAGCCCTACTATGTAAGTGCAGCTCCTCTCTGACTCTTGCTTCAACCCCCATACTTCCTCGAAAAGACCCGTCCGAGATCTCTTTTTCCTCTGCAGGGTTCCTAGAGAAAATAGAATAGCAGTGTTCATTCACTTTGCACAGTATTTCTTTCTATGCACACTGTTTGTCAGTGTGATAGCTGCTCATGTTGGAGGAGTGAGGGGCTGCTGTAGGTTACAACCAACAAAACAACCTGAAAATCTGCTTAAAACCTCAAAACATGCTGAAGAAAGACATCGATGCACTTGAGTATTGCAATATTATGTTTTATGAAACCGTATCACTTCTCAAAAACACCGTATTTTTTATTTGTGGCTCACATTGCACCACAAACTGTAGTGCTGCGATGTCGGATGTTGCAGGGACTGTGGTGGGACTCTTCAGATTGCAATGAAAAATGAACCTTTTTTTCCCTCAGATTTCGTGCATACTGCGTTGTGATCTTTATACTATGAAAGTTTTCCTAAAATTAGATTTTAAAAATTACAATATATCTCCTTTACTGACAGTATTGCAACTCCCGTGTCATGCTACATATTGAATCACCAGATTCTTGCCAATACACGGCCTCAATTCAAAGAAGAAGAGGCGTAATCTTGAGTGTGTTTTATTTAAGTGCATTAGTTTAGGGGTGTCACACTGTAGCTGACGTGCACCTCAGAAGCTACGTAGATACCACGTGGAGAACAAAAATAACTGAAGACGACACAGAGCAAGCTGTAGAAAGCCTCAGCATTATTCTAGTTTTCAATAAAACACATCTTAAGGGTCGTACGTAGCTCGACTTGGCTTGGGAACCGGAGGGTTTGGGGTTGAGATCCCTGCACGGGACCAGGTGGAGTGGACTAGCTGGAGAGGTGCTCCCGAGGAACTCCCAACTGCTCAGGGTGCCCCCTCGTTTGTGTGTGTTTTTCAGACCAGATCTCGAGAGAGAGAAAACTTGAAGTTCCCTATAAAGTATGTCTTCTTCCTCTTCTGATGTAAACACGCCACCCATTAACGATTGCGTGGCAATGATGTCTATTTACGCAACAATTGATATTTGCGTCGCGTCTCTTTTCTCTCTCCTCTCGGCTCTCTCAGCTGCTGTTACCCAGAGTGAGCTACCTGACTCTGGTCACAGACAAGGTGAAGAAACACTTCCACAAAGTAATGAGGGCCGAGGACGTGGAGGAGATGTGGTTCGAGTATCAAGGGACGCCGCTGAAATGGTGAGAGAGCGATCGTCGGATGAACTCATTTTGTTCTTTCTCTCGGTTAAACAAGGTTGTGTGTGTGTGAGGTGGTACACTGCTGGATTTCTAAATGTGGGCGTATTCTTTTGTGATCCATATGTCAAACATTTGTTAGAAAAGCTATTTAGTGTATTTTCACATCAGAATCAAATTATTTTCTCCAATAAAATGCATTTGTTTCAACCCAAATCCATCTTATGAAATATGCACCATATTAAAACGAGCAACATCAGCAGGAAACTGCCGTTTGTGTTCCTTGTTTTACTGGATTAAGTGAAACATCCACACTCTCCAACAAATACAGAGTCAGACCCACAGCGGTATCTTCACACCTGCAGCTCTTAAGTCCGTTCATCCACAGACTGTGGTCGCCTCGTTAGTGCTGAGATCAACAATGTGAACAGACTGCAGGCACAACGTTCAGCCACAAGGTGTCAGTGTTGCAGCACAGACGATGAAGAGTCTGGTTTACAGTAGCCTCAACGTTCCAGGAGTTAAATTAAAATAGATTTAAAAAACTAAAAAAAGGTTCAGTTCATTATTTCTTATCATGTAAAAAATATCCAAATGTTTACAGGTGCAGCCTCTCAAATGTGAACTTCTGCTGCTTTTCTTTTCTTACTGAAAATTATTTTTTTTTGATTTTAAGATAGTTTATTAGGGTCTGGTTATCTGTTCAGGGTGTTTTTCATGTTTTGACATCTTTTAAATTACAAATTTGGAACAAATTGACTTGTTGGCTTCAGGGGAGCTAGACCGTGAAGACCAACATGTTTAGTGAGCGTGATTGACCGTAAAAATACCTTAATTACACTCAGCGGATTTGAGGCTGCGATAAAGAAAAGCATCTAATCCCTGTTGGCTGAAACACAGGAAGTGACGAACAGAAATGTCTCCCGAAGTTCACCGCTGCATCCAGAGAAAGCTGGACTGAAGACAACAAACATGCTGACACCAGTTCTGTTTTCTGGCACATTGAAACTTATAATTAGTAACTAGTTAGCCTTGAAATTATTTCAAGACGTTGCTACATAAGTAGTGAAGCGTTTCATTCAGAGGTCCGGTGCTGCTGTCGGTCTCTAGAAGGCTGATAAAACAGACTGATAGTGGAAGTCACGCTCTCTGAAGTAACATCGTTTCCTGTTTGCGTTTCCCGGTTTCAGGCACAATCCAATTGGACTTCTATTTGACTTCCACGCGTCCAACACCGTCTTACCCTGGAGCATCACTGTGCACTTTAAGGTAAGTGTGTCACAGGACTGTATCTCTCTTTGTATCCACTAGGGAATGTTTAACAATGAATCAAACGATGACGTGTGTAGTTTTAGAAGATGTGTAAAGTTAAGATAGCTCTGATAAACCCACTCAACACTACCGGCACCAAACATCAGACAAACAAAGATAGCAACTAGCTGAGCAAGAAATGTGAACATCATATTTCTGTCAGGAGTTGATGCAGACCAAAGTCCTATATGCCAAATTATCGTCTTCTCATTCTGACGGCCCGCCCGCGGGCCGTCAGAATGATAACTGCATATTTGTGTTATGCACACAACTGCCCTGTAACATGAGTATTAATGTGATATCTCATTAGAAAGCTACGGTTCTTATAATTCGATTTATGCAAACCATTTCAAGATACAATAACAACAGCAGGTACAGTTAACTCTCTGTCAAACAAGCACTCCAAAAATAGCCGATAAAATATCGCTGTGACTCACCGATTATGATTCATAACGTCCCCCTTGTGCATGCTAGTCCAGCAAAAACGGTATTGCTAGGTGGCTAAGGGTCCACTCGATTGAATCCAGTAAAAGATTTAGTCCAAAACACATTAGTACGTCCATAAAGACCCACGGGGGGCTGTTGCATCATTTCAAATTAGCCTGCAGGTATGATAACTCGCGATCATATTTCGGGCATAACTTCACCTTCGGTGTCAACAGAGCGAGATTTTCATCGCAAAATGGAGCCTGCATTCCGCCGGTTAGATTGACACCTCATTTGACCCAATAGGAGCTTCTATAGCCCGGCCACAGTCTGGAACAGCCAATGAGAGTCCGCTTTGAAAGACAATGCCCGCCTCTCTTCTTTGGGTATAGCTCGAGCCAATCGCAACAGATCCTGTTCAAACTCAGGCTCCACATAGCCAATGAAATTACGAAGCCAAGGATATGCAGATTTATCAGATTGAGTGCTGGGAAAGTTTTCTAACCTGAACTGGAAACCATGAGTCAAGTTCCTGGGACAGAGTCTGAAGACCAAAGTCTGGTTTATGAGAATTTTTAAGAATCTGTGAAAGTTGATAATGGTTAAATATGGTAGTTAACCATACATCGACATAAATAAACTATAGTTCGATTTTCAAACACGTAGTTTATGGTAGTATATGCATTTTGACGTGACCCTCCAAATGCATTTTTACACGGCAGCACTCTTTGTGAACAATGTGTAAGATATCAGTTTTTTGTGGTGTTGTTATCAAATTTTAACTTATACTAGGTGTCATTACTGTTAGCTGTGGAGTGAGAGTCTTTTCAACCCTGTAAGTCCCAGCCATAGATAGCTGCTGCCATCTGTTGGCCAAAACAAATCTAGGCGGAAGTGAAATGCTTCTCTTTCACTGTGCTGAAAACGCATTAGCTCAATGCTAGTAGCACTTACAGTGATTCTGACTGATTGTGAAGAAACTTCAGTGTGCTGCCGTTCAATAAAGACTAAAACCATCTATTCACCAACAGACTGCACACTCGCTAAAGTACTCGTAAACACACACACCTTTAGTGGCTCCATTAGTCCATTTATAAACAAACATAATTTTATGTAAACCACGTTGTCTTATTGCTTTTAGCTAATGCAATTCAAACCGGTTTCAGCTTGATAACTGACCCAACTCTGCCCCCCGGGGGCCAGAAAAGAAAACGCAACAATGCTGCTTTAAATAGAAATGTTTTTCTTGTGCATGCGTCAGAATTTTCCGGATCGCGACCTCCTCCACTGCCCGTCCAACTCTGTGATCGAGGCTCACTTTATGTCCGGCATCAAGGAGGCCGACGCCCTCAAGCACAAGAGCCAAGTCGTCAACGACATGCAGAAGAAAGACCACAAACAACTGTGGATGGGCCTGCAGAACGGTGAGACACACACACACACACACACACACACACACACACACATGCAGTCGTGCATTTCT